AAACTTACAACACTGTTCAACTTCACACTCTTTAATGTCGTAAAAATCACTTGAATAACACCATGTCCGGCACTTGCCATTGGGATTTCGACAATAATTATGATCTCCAATGCCTTTCCCTATAAAATCTGCTGGATATATACTGTCGGTGCCTTTAAATGGGCTTGTCCATGGTAGGCACCGTGTTCCATCTGCAGCAGTATCTTGTGTCCCTCGATAATCTGAGCCATCAGTCATTTTGAAGCATTCTGATATAAAAACAAAAAGGTTCATGACAGATTTGACCAAATATCTTACAATAATTTTTTTTTATTCGAATTCAAAAAGTATAGAATTAATATCCTACCTTTAATACAATGTTCTTCTTCATCACTTTCGTCGGGGCAATCATAGTTACCATCACAAAGTAATGACTTCAGTATACAAGCTCCAGATAAACATCTAAACTGGTTTTGAGAGCAAGAATGACGCTCCTCTGAAATGGAGATAGTGAAGCAATGATATTTTCAAGCGATTTTACTAGGTCTATGTAGAATTATTGTAACCAGTGCTATTTATTCATCCACTGTATTCATCTATTACTTTCACCTACTAATCATACAACCAGGGAGTCCCTGATACAACTAATAATTATAAAGTTAGTTATAACAGATAAGAAACCTTAACAAGTGAGGTGGTAGTGAAAACTTAAAATCGATAATAATATATAAAGACTAATTAAAAGAAGACAGGAAACTTACTATTCTCATGAATATTTACCTTGAATATCCATTTGACATACATATGCACTGACATGTAAATTAGTACATGGCACCTTCATTACTCTCCAATGAAACGTTTCATTTTGACGATTAAGGTACGTACATTGAGATTCGGAGTTTTCCCAGAGAAGAACATTGGGGGCGTTTTCTTGATAATAATACACTATCCTCAAATATTCTACGATCATTTCCAATAAAGTTTCCATTTTTAGAAATGTTGATCCATCGGGACAGTAGCCGATATCAGTAAAATTAGCAAAGGCCTTGGTCTTTTCTAAATGTATAATTGATAGGCAAAATTGACCACCTCGAAACCAGTACTCATAGCAACCTACAAAAAAAAGGAGAAAAATTAAAACATCATA